TTTGACAAGCATTGCGGGTCGAGCTGCGAGGATACCAATTACTGTTAGCACTTAAATCCAAAAATGAAAAATAAACAATTATGTGCATCTACTTCAAGAGGAAAGGTACGGGAGTTGCAACAATTAAACCCTAAACAATAAAGTTAATAGAAACTTTTCCAACAGCTTCTCAAATACGAATGTTTCAAGTCTTATCATCTCTCTCCAACATACAATCTTAATATCTACACCTCCATAAACACCCAGCATCAAGCGTGAAAATTCATCAACTAAAGTTAGTTTTCAGAAATCTGGAACCACTAATTTGGATATAAAAGTAAAACCAAGTGAGTATACTCAAATAAGTCTTCCACGATTATTGAGACATTCCATGAAGACGGTCACCAACACATGGACCTCCTCTTTTATTTTACCAATCTGCCTAGTCATTAATGCTGATTCGTGAAACCAAAAACTCTTATTCACACTTTTATCTATTAAAACCTGACACTGTACATTTTGTCGTGCATTTGCACATACATAAATCAGGCTGAAAAAAAGTGATGCCCAGGTTTGAAATATAAAGAAGATTAATATTGTACAAACATACAGAGTCAGACTAATGATAAAAAAGTTGAGGTGGCAATGTGGCATCGGTGTTGGCAATCTCGAGGAGAGGAATTTAACCTTTTTTCCCCCATGAGTCAGTTTAGAGATCTCCTCATAAAAGGGGTTCTTCATGGCATGTGTTGATTTTTAGTAAATATAGTGTGTATGAATACGGGGGTTTACTTCTAAGTTCTAACATAATAATACCAAGAGGAATTGCCCCTGGGAATTTTGTGTACAATGCAAGAAAATATGTGAGGAGCTTTTTACTAGACAAAAAGAGTAAGGGAGGTCCACAAGTTTATGGAATGATTCATGGTTGCTGATAAACCATGAAAAATAACCTCCCCCAGGTAATTTCAGATTCCCTGTACAAAACATGAGGTTGAAAATCTTTGAATCAAAGAAGCAAGCCACTACAATTCATTTCTTAAAAACCCAGTGTATGATTAGGAAATTGGGAGGTCGATAGATCTTCTTCTGGAACCCACAAGCTGAGCCACTCTCCTGATACACTATCTTGGACCTCAGACAGCACCTCTTGCAATTATTACTTCCTTTCTGAAGATAGGCTTCTTGCTATAACAATCATTTTTCTTTAGCCACGCGGGAGGGGTTGATGTTAGGAGCCTTAAACATGCTGAATATCATTCAAATAAGACATCCTAATAGCTGCAATCACCTAGAATATGCTGTCTATGTAAAATAGAAGTGGAAAACCAAATACCATTTGTTCCTTCACTGCTCTTATTTTGAAACACTATGGCTGCCTTTTCCACAAGAATTCAACAAGGCGTGGTATTTCCCTCAATCTGTTTTTCTAGCTCTTTAAAAACAAAAACTTCTTATTGCCATTCTTTAAATGGAAAGTCAATTTTTGTAGGTAAATTTTATCCAGGGGATGGTTTGGCATTGGCTAGAAATAAATCTTAGAATTTTTTATAATTTACAGGGGTTTGGAGGTTTGGAACTTTATGCATTTCAAATTCTCTTTCTGGAGCTCTTTCTCTTTTTATTTATTTTTATTTTTTGTAATTGCAATTTTTTCCTCATTAATGCCAATTGGATAAAGTTTCTTTAATCTCTTGGCTCATTGGGGGCTGATACTTTGATAATGCGCTGTACTCATGTTCTTGTTAATGAAGGTATGTTTCCTATTAAAAAAAGTAATTATATGTTCAAGCAGACAACAGTTTCATGCCCCAAGATAAGCCACTTCCTTTTTAAGAACCAAGAATAAAGCAGGAGATAAATTATATCTTCCAATTACGTTGATTCTCTAGATGTGTGTATATCGAATCAATAAATCAACATAATAAAAACTGAGGATGAGTGACAATAGTGAGTAATGGTAACAAACCTTCTGAAAGATCATCAAGTCCTGGAAAATCAAGCCAGTCATATGACTTGACATGTAAGGAACCATAAATTAGTTTGCTCAGCACGGTCATTCCAGGATGGTTGTGAAAAGGTATGATAGAAGTTGGTGGCATACAGAAAATTCCTATCTGCAAAAGAGTTCATAACAGTGAATTTCACTTAGTTCTTACCATCTAAGGCAAAGCCCAGTTGTTTCCAAGAGTAGAGCAAGTATATAGCCAATAACTAATTATCAACGGTTATATTTCCAATAATAAAATGATTAGAAGATATATACTTACGGAGAAGCTATCACCCTCATGCAAATGCAAGTATTTAATCGGTGGCAATGATTGCCGTCTCCCATTGCGTTCCTGCACAGGTTCCGACCAATTACGAACTACTTGTGCCTCCTGTTCAAGGCCTACATCAGAGGGCTTGATTTTTTCTGCAAGCATATTGTCTATGATTAAAGGTGCAAAACTACCAGAAAATAGGCAAATGTAGCCATGATGGGCACTGAAGAGCATGATACAACATTCAGAGAAAATAAATTGTAGAAATATCTTTAGGTATATTATAGAAGAATAACACAAAGATAGTATTTCTGAACATCAATCTTTTGGAATTTCCGGTTGGCCCCACCCCACTATCTCATGTAATGCGTCCTACCCTCCTCATTTTAAGCCATACAGCAAATCACATGAACCATCAATAACTGCATAGTATTTCCAATATATGCGGGTAAGTCACTCCGCTTCAAGCCACGAACCAGATTACTTGTGCCAACGTATTTCCTATCTATGCTGTTCAAGTCATTCCATTTTAAGCCAGAAACGAGATTACCAGAACAAACAGAAGTGCCTTATATTTCCAATATATGATGCATAATTTTCGGAATTTTCAGAATTTTCATAATTTCCATAATACTAACAAGTAAACAGCTTAAAATCAGGAAATTCAGAAGTTCACTTGGCTCGATGACACTCAATGCACTAATTGAAGATAATGTAAGATAATTGGACTTGCAAGCCATTTTAGTACATGCCAACACTAAAGTAACCAAATCATGGACTAATTGTAGAATATTTTCATCATAACCTCTACAGTGTGAATTGTGATTATCCTATAAACTAAATATCATTCAAAGGTAATTGCAATTGCACCAAAGACTGTGAAAACTAGTAATTTCCATTTCATGTAACATCTTAATCAAGATCTTGAACAGTCAAATAAGACAAGACAGAAGGCTGAACTGACAATTGAATGCTAAATGGAAACCATGGTGTAAACAAAAAATCATACCTAACATAGCGCGAACTTTTTCTAGGGCTTCTTCTGACACAGGTCCATTAGGAGACAATGCAGCTTTGCAAGTATTATAAAGTCTCTGTATATAATATGGCATGACGCAAAGACGGTACCAACTTAACTGAAAGGACCCGAAGCCAGTAAGCTGATAACGTCTTCACAAGAAGTTTAAGAACTGCAATGATAAAAACTTCTATAGGGTGGTAACTCAAATGTATTCTGCATATGAAACCAACAGCAATAGATCTGCATGGCAGTGGATCCTCTCTTTAAACATTACTCATCAGCCCCTAAAAACGATAAAAACAAGTGACAGTAAGTTCGAAATAACAATACCTCTGCAGAATATAACAATGTGTTTTAAGTAAAAACAACCGTCCGAAGCATTTTTTCCAACCGGAAGGGAACAATAAAATTCATCTAGTAATCATAAGCTTTAGAAACAACATAACCAGAATGAATTATTCAATGTACTAGTTATCACTGCTGCAGCTAAGATGGTGCAGGAAAAATAAAAGGATTAGGAAACTGAATACCGTGTTTTTCGTTTTAATGCGAATCAATAAATCATATGCTAAGCACGAGATACCCCATGTCCTCTATCATTTCCAATCATATTTCAACATCCAATACAAGGGCGATATAGAGAAAAGTGGAAATTAGTAAATATCTTGGCATAGGGAAAAATAGAAAACCTCATCGAGGATGGAAAACCCATTTCCGATGAAGTATAAAACAATTAAACCGGAGCAGCAAATGTCAAAATTCAGTTGGAAAGCACATGAACAAAAATCGAAGTGAAAGACGGATTTACAGAGCAGGTACTATAATTGTGGGCAACACAAACTTTTACAGAACCATAATCCGAAAACGCCGGCGATGAGACCGAAGCGGCGGAAGGAAAATAGTGAGGAAGTGATTTGAAAACTAACAAAGAATGAAGTAGTCGGAGGATTTCAAACCTGAGGAGCTGCACCGAACCGGAGGGATCGCACGCAAACGAAAGAATTAGACGAAGGAGAAAGAAGATGACAGAAAGGCTTTATATTACGTCATTATTGCCTCTTGTTTTCTCTTTTGGTTTATAAATATTTTGCTTCTCTCAGGATTGAGCTCTTCCTTGGCTTGTCTCTCTTCACAAAAACCTCACCGCTGGCGCCGTGCCTATTTTTTTCATAATTTCGAACACAAATTGTTTTCAGTACAATATGTTTGGGATTCGAACTCACCGCGAGTTAAATATCTAACCAATTTAACTACATTCAATTTTATTATCAAACAACAATAATTCATGAAAATTTATAGATAAAATAATAATATTAAACATAGATATTTAAATCAGGAAAATAAGCAAAAGAAAGAGATAAAGATATTTTAAAAAATTAAAGAAATAGTTGATATGTGAAATAAATATTATATTCAACAAAATGATGTTAATAATTATGTCGTGATATTTTTATAATTCAACCATGTGTGACGATAGAAATTTGAACCTCCTCCAACTTAGTAAAGAATATATCATTTAACGAGCCTGATATTTTAGGATTATTATTATTCTATCAACCTTAAAAATGATGCATAAACCTAAATATAAGTTTACTTCAGTAATTAAGACAGATATAAGAGACTAAAAAAAAAGAGTGTATATAAGTATAAGTGGGCAGAAGTCGGATAATTCGGGAACCCGATTATTTGGGCCCGAGAAACCGACGTTTTCTTTAATTGTTCCTCACGGCTGGAAGTAATGGCGTGAGTTGACTGCGTGTCCTTCAAGCTATCCAGACATTTTAATATACTCCGACCAAAACCCTAATTCAGATTCTGCGTACTTCCTACCGAGCGAGGATTAGGAACCTCTTGGAAAGAAGAAAAAGGAGACGGAGAAAGTTGAAATGGCTGGAATCGGACCACTTTCACAGGATTGGGAACCGGTGGTCCTCAGGAAGAAGGCACCCAACGCGGCTGCCAAGAAGGATGAGAAAGCCGTCAATGCAGCGCGGCGAGCCGGGGCGGAGATTGAGACTATAAAGAAATGTGCGCCCTCTAATTTTGATAATTATTTCATCCCTTTGATTTTCTTATTTGAAATCTCAATCACTCGCTTCTTGTTTTTTGTTTGGACTTTGAACTCTATTTTTGCTCAAGTAGTTTAAAAGTATAGGATAATTATTAAGTCGGGAGTGATGATATCAAATTATATCCAAGTTTTATGTTGGGAGGCAATTAGGACTGGTTTTTTGAACTGGGCATCACCTGGAATGTTTAAATTTTTAAAAGATCAGTGGGCAATCATCGTTTGTGACTTGGTGTCGACCCTTGCAGAGTTGGGCTATGCATATCTTTCTGAATCCTCTTATATTCTGCTTATGTTGGTTCAAAACTCGTCCGGAGTTTGTTTTATTAAGTCTAATATAGCGTTGCTACGATACTTTTTTTTGGCCTTTTGCAGCTGCTGCTGGGTCAAACAAATCTGCCTCTAGCAGTACTAGTTTGAACACTAGGAAGCTTGACGAAGAGACTGAGAACCTTTCTCGTGAGTACTTCTGGATTACATTTGCATTGCATCGTTGGATAAGTTTTATCATCCACTCGTGTTTGTGGTTTAAGCTCTTAGCAGATTAGTTGGTCTCTTGACTCTTATTAGAGATATTAATTATAAATTTGGTTGCTAGACTTTCAAAGTTGTATCTATTTATTCATCGTACTTTAAGAAGTTTATTATAGATTTACGAAATTTTAGGGTTATGTTTATCCAGTTCTTCTATTTTAAAAGTTTTTAATATGTCCCTGAATTTTAAAATTTTTGTATTGTAGGTCCCTATGGTTAGCTCTTTTAATACTTATATGCATTCATTATGTATTGTTTAAGGATTATGTAACGACACAAACCTTGAATAATACAGTCAGACGTCAGTGATGTATTTGACACGCAATTGAAAGTTTAGGTATCTATTACAAACTTTTTGAAATATAGGGACTAAATAGACATAACCTTGTAAGTTTAGGGATCGTTTAGAAAATTTTTTAAAGGACATGAATTAAATAGGCATAATCTTTTAGGTGGAACTTATAACTTAACCTAGTGTCGTGCAAGCAGTGGTCATCACATGTTATACTATCTCAATTAGTTTTAGGAATTTTAATGTTTTATATCTCTTTAGATTGCACATCCAACTGCATGATGGTTCATCCATCTTGTGTTGGTGTTGTATTTTTCTTAATTCATTATGCATTACTTATTTTGTTAATTGGTTGATCTAATTTGACCCTAGATGATCGTGTACCAACTGAGCTGAAGAAAGCAATTATGCAAGCTCGAACAGAGAAGAAGCTCACCCAGTCTCAGCTTGCTCAAGTATGTTTGTCCCTCTCATGTTGGCTTGTTCCGTATTATGTGCATGTGTTTGTGATGACCTGGATTTATTTTTCTTCCTGTAGCTTATTAATGAGAAGCCTCAAGTAATCCAAGACTACGAGGCTGGAAAAGCTATTCCAAATCAACAGATAATAACCAAACTTGAGAGAGCTCTTGGGGCAAAACTGCGTGGGAAGAAATAAAGAGATCTGGAAAGTTAAGTATGAGTTCTATTTAAGTTTTTGTTTGAACCGTGCACAAAAGTTCATACCCTACTGTGGTTTCAATGTGTAACTATATGAAACTGTCCTTGTGTGCCTGTATAAGTACTTGTTGCAGTGTCTCGTTGGTAAGTTCTTACCTGGAAATAAATAAATATCATGTCTGTCATGTTGCTTTAATTTCCAGATGTTTTGGCTGCCCTTTTCACATCAGAAGTAAGCTTGTTAAATGTTCGCACCCATGACCTTTAACAATTCAGCAACTTGTATGGAGAGCTCTTGAATGTCGTAAATTTTCTAGTTTGGTTCTGAACTTTATTTCTAAATTCGATGTCCATGATGCAATTTGTGTTCTTTGAAACTTCCCCCCTTGAATTGGACCAATGGTAGAGGTTCTTCTCTTAAGCCACTTTCTAGGTGATGATCGTGACAAATGTATCATGTTATTCAAAGAATGTTTTGAAAGTTTAAATCGACAAAATTGACTGAACTAAGGAAGTCAAGGTTGGTTTTGGTTAGTATCTTCTCCTTGGCTGGATTTGGCTTGCAATATCTATCTCTCTCTCTCTGAGGACTCTTCCAGTGCACCACACACCCCTACACTTCTCCCTTCCTCTCTAGCTCCCATGCTCTCTCCCCTGGTGAAACTTCATCAAGTTCAAGAAATTGTGACTTATTTCTGCAGTTCCGCAATGATGAGAAAGTAGAACAGTATTCTCCCAAATTAACAAATATGGTTTCTATTTGCCTGTTTGATCAATGGAAACTGATCTCTCCCTTGTATGAAGTCCACTCTCTCCCTCTCCTTCTTTCTTTGAGGTCTCTGCCACGCCAATTCATATCCCGTAATTCTCCTGGCCTCACCCTGATTGAATCTTTAGCCAGTTCAAGTAATTGTGGCCATTCAAGCAGAACTGCACTAGGGGAGAGAATAGAATGGATATTGGCCCGAAATAATGAATATGGTTCTTGTCCAATCAATGGAAACTGATCTCTCCTAGTATGATGCAATCAACTCTTGGAATCTTGATCTGTGGGATCTCCTTTATATTCTTGATGCATTTTGCCATATTTTTTTGCAAAATATTTTTGACCGTTTTGATCTGAACCGACCCATGTCTTACCTTCAGTTAAGAAAATGGGTTCACAACAATCATCCTTTGGATCACTTTTTGACAATAGCTTCTTGTTACAGAGCGTCGTTTCGAGGTCTAATGAATAGTAAACTATGTCCACTGTAAATCTATAGTTGACTTGAGGCATAGGTTCTCTTTGCCATTTCTGACACCAAGAGATGTCACTAACCAAACAGAATAATTAGAAAACTCTCTGCCATATCCTTCAATTGCTCTCTCTTCTCTTCCATGTTGTTGCTATTGAAGGAAAAACAGCAGAGAGCTAGTTTTATCCCAAGTTGGATAGATATTCTTTCCTTGATGCGTGAAATGCGAGAAAGGCTCATTATGATGCCTAACAGCAGGAAATTCAAAGCATTGTTATAATTTACGCCATTGATCTGATTCTTGGAGCCTTTATATGCTTAAAGTTGGGTGGGCACCGAACTTCTTTTTCCCTAGATAATGGTGTGCTTGAAGTTTTCCTATTTTTGCTGATAAACTAGTCGTCTAAGACATCAAAATAGTTTATATTAAGTTTTATTTGTTTAAGTGGCATATTACTATTCTGTTAAAAGGTATTGGTCGTATAGTTTGTACGTTATAGATTTTCAGAGGATGGTTTGATTATCCATGTGAATCATTGTGCTAACAATTACAAATGCTTCATTTCTACATATCGTTTTCTTTTGGCTTCAACCCTCAAAATAATTCATTTATTCAATTATCTATTGAATTCTACGAAAACAATAATATATATTAAAAAAGTATAAATGTGATATCACATCGACAAGGAATGAATATATGCTTGATGAATCACTACTTTATGACTTGAATAAGAATAACTTCTATAAATGGGTTAAGTAAATATAATTCACAACTTCGGGTAATAGTTAATTATAGTTAATTATAGTGATCATTTACTTTTCATATAGTTAATATAGAAAACTTGTAGCAAGTAAACTTGAACCAAATTCATGCAATATCTTCTTGGTTAAAATAGAGCTAGACAATTCCTTATTTACACCTTGAAATTCTTTTACCATGTTCTTCCACATATGTAAATAAGTTTTACAAAGTACGACAGAAGATACCCAACAATTATATAATTATTGTCAAGTTCGTAGATAAAAATATGTTTATCCTATGGTCTTGATTGATGGGTAGAACAAGTCATTTCAATCCATGTGAAGAAGGCTTCATAATTTTGCATGGTTTAAAAATGGTCAAATCTTAAGTCAAGAAATGTATTGAGAAGCAAAATGTGGGGAAGATATGGTTGACATGGTCTTTAATTCATTCTAACAAAGTGGTTACCAAGAAGAGTGGCACATGGGTCCATTTTCCATGCACTAGCCACATGGTACACATAATGAATGGGCTCCTCTCTCCCATCCTATTTTCTACATTTTTTGCTAATTAGAGCTCCACATATTTTTTGGAATGTAAAAATTCAAGAATACGCGTACCTGTTTCAAAGTTGAAATCCAAAGCTACTAAATAAACATTTTTTCATTTGTAACAATGCTACTTATTTCAGTAGTTGCTTGAGTTAATATAGGACTGTAAAAGTCAAAATTTTTATTAGTGACCTAAATACGAAGAAATATGTATTAGATTTTGATAATCTAACTTCATTTAAATAACACTACACTTAATGTTTCTGTGTGACATAAATGACTTGAAGTACAAATTGTTTTTTTTAAGGATATTGAATCTTCAACTTCTAAGAAATAAGCAAAATACCTATTAAGTATAATTGGACTGATTTTGATTATTAGATTTTTTTTTTTCAATGAGAATTTGTTAAAAATTTATGTATAATTAATTAAATAGTTTGAGCACTCTCTTTCCCGATGAATGATTGGTGGTGATATAAACCGTTTGGGTTCCATTCCATGTGATTGTTGTCGAAGGGTTTCCCAGAGGTGTATGGGAGTTACCGTGCAGCCGCGTTGCACCGGAGTTTGGTTACTTCCTTCAGACATAGATAAGACAGCAATGGAGCTATCTAATTGGAGCGTGCAACATCTGCCGCGAAAATTCGCGCGTGGGTCTACTCTATCTATTTCTCTAACGAGACGAGACAGCGGAAGGAGAAAATTTAGATAATTAATAAATGGAACAATTAAAAAAAACCGAAAATAGGAACAAAAATCGGAAAGAGAGAGAGAGAGGAGAGAGAGAGAGGGAGCTCTACTCTCACATGGCCTCTTTGCCATTAGGGCCTCGCCATCAACCTCCACCACAGCCACAGTCACAGCCACAAGTACAGCTGCTACAACAGCCTCACCCTGAAAATGACCGTCTGAATCTCAACTCTCACCGTACCTCAGCAATGGACTCCGATAAGGTTCTCTCTCTCTCTCTCTCTTCTGGTGTTGTTTTCTGCTTGTGATGTGTGTTGTCTCTCTGTGCGATGTTTTGCTTCTGTTGATGCTTTGTTTGTGCCTGATCCAGCTCAAGATCCTCATTTCTTGCTAAGATAGGAGCGATCTACGGTGATTTGATAGTTTTTTTCCTCGATTGGAAGGCCGGATAAGCAGCCGGAAGTTCTCACCGGCAATTAGATTGGAGATATTTTCTGGCTCAGTTTTGTTTGTTTGATCGATTCCGAAATTACTAGTATATATATATATATATATGGTTCAGTGTTTGATCAAGTATTTAGCTGAGATCTTGCAGCTTGAGCTGAATGTGCTCGAACTATCTTCTGTTAGTTTAATTGCTCCGAGAATTGAGGGAGTGATTTATTGGAATATTTCCGTAGCTTGTTTTATTTCTCCTAGCCTTGATAATTGGGAAATTAAGTGGAACTGTGTGTTAACGCGGTGTCTGAATTGACCTCGTATCGTAAATTGATCATCTAATTGATGTTTCAGAAACTTCTTTCCCCAGTCTTTCAATTTGTTTCGATCTTCTACAGTTTCGACTATTGTTTAATCTTCTACAGTTTTGATACTTTTTAATTATGGTTGCTCTTCTCCGTGAATTTTTTGAAAAGCAATTTATAGTTTGCTTTGGGAAGTCGATAGCGGCTGATTCCCTCCTTAGTTCCTTGGGTGGAGATGCAAGCTCTTTGAAGCATGTGATGCTTTCTTGTAAGCAATAGCTATCGATATTGCTTTTCCAAGACGTTGCTCTGGATATATTAATCTGTCTTCAACCCTACATTTTGAGACCCATCTTCAATTCCTTCAGATACATTCCGATCCTTATCAAATCCCAAAACACCATCATAAATTTTCAGCGAATATACCAATTACTTAATTACTGTTAAGTTGGTTTTGTATTTGTGTACATCGTCCTTCACGTCAGCATCAAATACTCTACTTCCTATAGTCAATCGTGGGCTTTCCTACTAAAGTTGCCTGGACCTAGACGTGTTTTCATTAGATGTGGGTAATCATATGAAAAGATGTTGATACTTCAATATATCAACAATAAAAAGGTCTTTTTACAGACTGTTTAATCCTCCTATTTGCAGCAAAATTGGCTTGACTTCTACTATTATAGGGTTCTATGTGGATAAATCCTTTACATGTGCCCCCTATGCATCTGGTATATATCCCTCATAACTGCAAACTTTCTGCCTCACTTACCATGCTTTATGCTACAAATTCCAGGAAATGTCAGCTGCAGTGATTGAAGGGAATGATGCAGTAACTGGTCATATCATTTCCACTACGATTGGTGGAAAAAATGGTGAACCAAAACAGGTTAAATTCTCATACCCACTCCCTCATAATTTGTTTCAATCATTTTCTCCTTTAGTTCACTTGTGGAATAAATATGTTTCATTCTTCAATTTGGTGGACATTGTGTAAAACAAAATTTAATCTGAGACGGTAAATGTATATCTTAAACAACCTACCTTATTAATCAATAATTCTTTTTTCTTTTTTTTTTCTTTTGCAACTTTAAAGTGATCTAAAAATCTTCAGTGTAGTCAAAATTAACCTTGAAATATTGAGTTACTGAAATGTTCAAATTTCCTTGCTTGTAATGTAGACAATCAGTTACATGGCTGAGCGTGTGGTGGGTAGTGGTTCGTTTGGAATTGTATTCCAGGTAGATATAAAATTATATTTCACCATATGACAAAGTTTGTGCAATTTCCATATTCTTGAAGTTTGCCAATCATTCTTTCAGGCAAAATGCTTGGAAACGGGAGAAACAGTTGCCATAAAGAAGGTCTTGCAGGATAAACGTTATAAAAACAGGGAGCTGCAACTAATGCGCCTGATGGATCATCCAAATGTGGTTTCTCTGAAGCATTGCTTCTTCTCTACTACTAGTAAAGATGAGCTCTTCTTGAATTTGGTTATGGAATATGTCCCCCAAAATATGTACCATGTTCTTAAGCACTACAACAGCATGAATCAGAGGATGCCACTCATATACGTCAAACTTTACACATATCAAGTATGTCATGTTATTTCATATGCGATAGAATAACTTTCTGTCGGTTTTTTATATGCTAACACAAAGTTAATAAATTTTTCAGATTTTTAGGGGCCTTGCCTATATTCATTCAGTCCCCGGGGTCTGCCACAGGGATGTGAAGCCTCAAAATATTTTGGTATAGTGCTTTTTTTCTCCCTTCATTCTCCTCTTTGTCTATGTTTGAACTATTTATCTGAAACTACTCCATGGAATTTCTGTAGGTTGATCCTCTAACTCATCAAGTTAAGATTTGCGACTTTGGGAGTGCAAAAGTATTGGTATGCACTAATATTCCACACCTTCTGGTGGATCAAATTTAATCAATATGTCATATATTATGCTTAAGATTGAGGTTGGACATAGTAGTAAACGCCCCCTGTTCAAGCTTACTACTGTATGTTTTTTTAATTATTTTTATAAAAGATATATTGATAAGAATCAGTAAAGTAAGTTTATCTGATCATCCAAACTAAGTTGGTGTAATTTAGCAACTTCATTTTCAATATATCATTAGAAAGAGAATAAAATAAAATTTTAAATAGATCGGCTAAATTTAAAGTTTAAACATAGTTTTCTACATAGATCGTCCAAAAAATTGATTACAAAGGTTAGAGGAACCACTACCAGGTGGGAAAAATAATATGAAGACTTCTAAAAGCTAAGCAATTAGTAACTCGAGTCTTCTAAAAAATGTAAGTGGGTTATTCATTAAAGGAAGCAAACATAAACAATTGTTTGAAATTGAGTGCCAATGTTCAGAAAATTTGTAAGACGAAGGAGAATCATGGCCATGGAGTTAGCATAATCACTTCCAACTATAAATTTCCTCAACCAAAGAACTGTTCCAATACTTTAGGGTCATAGGATATTCTCTGTTTTCAAATTTTTTTTAAACATGATCATTGAGGTTATAATTTGTGCTTTTCTATAAGGGTGAAATGGAATTTAAAAGACTGCCACTTGATTGATTTACATTTTATGTTCTTTCTCAAATAACTTTTTTCCTAACTCTTCTGTTTTCGGATTAAGGGTGAAGCTAATATATCATACATATGTTCACGTTATTATCGAGCTCCAGAACTCATATTTGGTGCAACAGAATACACGACCTCAATTGATATTTGGTCGGTTGGTTGTGTCCTCGCTGAACTTCTTCTAGGCCAGGTCAGTGACTTTGGTGGAGGGTGGGAATTGATACACTTCAATTTATAATAATTTCTATGAACAGATGAATTTTTTCTTGCGTTTTTTAACTAAATCTTGCTGATTTGTTACAGCCATTGTTTCCTGGGGAAAATGCAGTGGACCAACTTGTAGAGATAATCAAGGTGATGCCTCAGTTTATGGTGATTTTAGGACCAGACAAATGAAGCTTCATCTCATGTATATATATATATTTTTTTACCTTCTTATAGGTTCTTGGTACCCCAACTCGAGAAGAAATTCGATGCATGAATCCAAATTACACAGATTTTAGGTTCCCTCAGATTAAAGCCCATCCTTGGCACAAGGTATACAATTAGGTATTGACCCACTTAGTTAAGTGGGTAATTTTTTTCATTTTACATACATATATATATATATTACTTCCCCCACCCCACCCCTGTGTCCTGTATTCTCTCTCCATGGAATGTAACTGCCACAATCGATTGACCATTATGGGTTTTGTGCTGCACTATTTTTCCTGCCTTTACTGCCTGAAATACTGTTGCCTATCTGCTGCTCCAACATTTCTCTAGTTGAAATGGTTATCCTTATGTTCTTTTGTTTAGGTTTTTCACAAGCGAATGCCTCCTGAAGCTATTGACCTTGCTTCACGTTTGCTTCAGTATTCTCCTAGTCTTCGCTGCACTGCTGTGAGTTGAACCATTTTCCTCTGTTCTGCGTCTGAATTCTTAAGTACATGTAATGCTAATGCTTGATTTTCTCACCTTAAACCAGTCCTATAATGGACTCCATGAAGCAAAGTTTAGCCACTACATTCTATCAAGTTTTTATCTAGCTATTGCCTAATCACGATTTTGGTTTTTGGATGTCAAGGCAATTTTGGTTCATGATATTGATGATGGTCGGTGGCTTTTATTTATCTTCTCTCTCTATTCATTGCAGCTAGAAGCATGTGCACATCCTTTCTTTGATGAGCTACGGGAACCCAATGTTCGCCTCCCTAACAACCGTCCATTGCCCCCTCTATTCAACTTTAAGCAGGAAGTACGTTAACTTTTCATTTTATTTCCTATTGAAGACTTAATTAAGATACTTCATAGGTTAAATCCAGAACTTTTCGTATCTAAGATGTCACTTAAATTTCATAAAACTAAATCGTCATGTACTGGGAGAATACCTAATTGCCACACTGCTGGATACTTCTTTTACTTTTAACAACAGTTCCAAATCCTTCTTTTGTTTCCGGTGTCAACATGATCACCTGAGTTGTTGACCACTAGAATTATACAGGTGTATGCCTCATCTACATTGTGTGTCTGTTTTCTTAAAGTTAAGGTATCGGGATAAAAGTACATTCATATGTAACAATGAGCATTACCTTTCCTTTTGGTGCCCATCTTGCTAACTTGTTTGTTCTGCGCTTGGAAATCTGAGGTATAAACCTGATTACCTGAATGTGGGATTTGTTCAACTGACATGAAATGTTGTTCTACTACTATGACATGGCATCGTTATTTATTTATTTATTTTCCCTCTACATTAATCCCAGCAACAATGTAGAAATTTGAACAAACCCATCTGTATAAATGAGTTGCTTCCGGTTTCGCTGGTAGCCAGTTGGTCTTTTAACCTGTGTACTGGTTGGCCTACCTAATAACATTCTCTTACTAGAAGCATTTCGTGCTAACATTTTCGATCTATGATCTGATTGCAGTTATCTGGAGCATCCCCTGAACTGATCAGCAGGCTGCTACCGGAGTATGTGCGAAGGCAGATTGGTCTCAGTTTTCAACACCAAGCAAGTACATAAAATGAAGACACGAATCAACATATAAGATCCGTTTCTTGGGTGGATGGATAAAATGCAACCAAAAGCTCCTTGCAGTCTAGATAACCAAGTATCATGGCCGAACCCCTGCCCTGCAAAGATTTACGAATATACCACTGGGTGTTCGGCTTAGCGTGGAAAATGGTGATCAACTACTTTATTTTAGCCAATACATATTGATTTTGTATTCCCCATGTCTAGATTTTTTGTTTTTGATCCATAAAGTCGGAGAAAGCTGGAAGTATGACCATGGAAAGGTATGCCATTCATGTCTAGCTAGGCAGTGCCTCCAAAAAAAGTTTAGTAGGAGCTCGTGGAGCTTATTTGTAGCTTCGAATTGGAATTGTTTTGTCCTGGTAAGTTTTCTGTATGTATAATTTAGTCTGTTTCCGGACCATATTTAGTGATGGAGGTTACTTTTCTTCCATTCGTTCTTCGATTGCTTTACTCTGTTTTGTTGTTTTCTTCATTTTTTATAATCTAAGAACGAAAGAAAACCAAATGGATGCAAGGGGCTCCTCAGGTTTAAGAGATTTGTTATTACTGTTATATGACCTCCTTTGACATAAAAAGATGACTCCTGGTCCTGGCTGATGGAAAAATGTATTGATTGAATATTAAATTGACAGGTTCAGCAACTCGGGAATCATTTTCAGCTCGAAACATGGCCATTCTAAAGGACTCGCTTGAAAATTTTATAACTAAAGACCAAATTCTATAGGAATCAAATTAAAAATTTAACCTAAAAAGAAGGGGAATAACACTTTTTGTCCAGCTTTTAGTTTAGTTTCTATTTGATCCTTAAAAGTTTTAAAATATTACACATTTACTTTAAATTGAGTCTAGTTTTCCTTTGGTCCTTAGATTTCAAAATATTACACTTTTACCCTTGAGTTTTGAGTTTCATTTTCATTTGGTCCCTAGTTTTAAAATGTTACACTTTTAGTTGAGTTTATGCTTATGCTCAATTTTGATCTTTGACACAGCAGAACCCTTAGTAATACTAACCCAATAGTGGTAGGTCTATTTAATATTAATTTATATTATTCAACAATAATGAACAATACTTTCAAATCATGTTAAGGATGAATAAAGCACCACTCAACCTTAAAAACTTAAGTAGATGAGTTGGATAAATTTAATTCATTTATATGATGCTCAACAAGAAGAGAGAGAATGGTGGGGAGGAAACAGTATTAAAATATTACGATGCTTTTATATAAATAATATTAAATTGACTATCAGCATTTTATTAGATTACTAACAACTCTGTTATGTCGGGAATCAAAAGTGAGCATTAATTCTGAAGACTCGAGTGTAAAAGTGTAACATTTTGAAACTTAAAAATCAAATGAAAACTAAACTTAAAATTTAAGGATAAAAATGTAGTATTTTGAAATTTAGAGACCAATGAAAACAGAACTTAAAATTTAGACACTGAAAAGATATTTAAAAAAAAAATTTTAATCTCTAAAATGTACGTTTCAAATCCACTCTTTCCTACTAAAATATGAGTGATGAAAATGGATAGATAAAAATAAGAGGAAAAGAAAAGAATAGCATTATTAGTTTTATTGTCATCAACATCCATGCATAATTAATGGTTCAGGAAAACAAGACAATTTTTTTTTAATCTAAACAAAACAAATTTAAGCTATAGGTTACATAAATTTAATTTATACTTTTGATACCATGTTAAAATTAATAATCAATCAAAAAATTTAAGTTGATAGATTATGATAAATTTTATATTGTATAGATACCTTAACAATATTAGAGACTGAAATTAAGAAAAGAAAAAGAAAAAAATACAATTTCAAGAAAAAAATTAGATTCGAGGTCAAACTTCAAGATGTAATTTATAATTTTAACATTTTCTTTTATTAGGAAAAGATTGACGGAGGCGTAATAATATAATTTCTTTCAAAAGTATAATTTTTGTCTGTCAAAGTCAAACCCTTAGCTGGCATTTCTTTATCCAATTCCTTAATTAGTTGCGACCCTGTTAATGTTATTGAATCACCCGGCAAGTTAAACGAGGGGCGACTCCCGAGTTTCTATTGGCTCTCGAGTTTTCAAAAAATGGGGCCCATTTACCCGCTGCTGCCACGTGTCACCCTTGCTGCCATTTGACCCTTTGCTTCAGATTGTCGCCTTCCTCTACTGCCCACTCGGGTAACAGAAAGCTTGAGCTTATGATATAATATGCGGATTTATAGCATGTTTTCTTAATGAGAATTAAAATTTTATAAGTCTCTGATTTTCACTCAAAGCACAGACTCTATATAATTGCCAAAGCCTGCCAATTTCTCAGCATGACATCGGTTTCCTGTGTGTCCAAGAAAGTTGGCTTCAAGAATCGTACTAACTCAGAGAAAGATAAAGATCAGACCTTTATTTTTTTCCAGATATTCGAGCTACAGTTTCGACTTTTCAGAAACTCAGCGATTAGAATTTCGCAAGAATTAAGAGTTTCGAAGGTTGTTTCTTGCGGGGAAGTCCAGAATCTTGATGGGTTTAATTTCTTTGGTTGTTCTTGAAACTGGTTTCGAGTTTAACTTCTGATTTTTCAAGGGGTAAGAGTTTTGATTCTTCTGTTGCTTTGGGTTCTTGGGGAGATTAATGTGGGGTGGGGGAAAAGATGATCTTTAAGCTTCTGCATTTGTTGAAAGATGAGCATTTTACAGCAGTTGAAGGGGATTTCTTTTGTTCATTCTTGTTCTTCATTTCGTTTTGTCAAAAGAGTTTTAAAGATACTATACTTGATTGTTGTTTTTGGGGATTGAATTCCATTGTCCTCTTTTTTGTCTGTGTTTGTTTTTTGAGGAAAAAGAGTAGTTGTGGAGGCTATCTGCTGATTACTAATCTGGAAAATTTGAGCTGCTGGAAATTTCTGAAATGGCTGGGACAAGTGTTGACTCTACAGAGGGCAGACTTGAAGGATGTGACAATGGAGCACGATGCGTAGATTCGAGCGAGTCGGTTCCAGTTCGGATGGTAATTGTATCACACATGCTTCCTGTAAAAGCAGAGCAAAGAGATGATGGAAATTGGAGTTTCAGTTGGGATGAGGATTCTTTGCTTTTCCAGATGAAGGATGGTTTTCCACAACAGATGGTCGTTTTTTACATCGGATGTCTGAGTTTGACAGTCGAAATTCATGAAGACAAACAACACGAGGTGTCCAAGACATTGCTAGAAGAATTCAACTGCTTTCCTACATTTTTGCCTCGTGAAATCTTGGACAAGTTTTACCATTGTTTCTGCAAGAGGTATCTGTGGTCTCTTTTCCATGACATGTTGCCTTTCTCTGTTGAGCACTCAGATCGGCCTTCGTGGGATGCGTATGTTTCAGCGAATATGTCGTTTTCGAAAAGAGTGATGGAAGTAGCTAACCCAGAACAAGATTATATTTGGATCCACGATTACCATTTAATGCTGCTTCCGTGCTTCTTAAGAGAGAGCTTCATCCGGATGAAGCTAGGATTTTTTCTTCACACCCCATTTCCTCCATCTGATATCTACCTAGCTCTTTCTGTAAGAGAAGAAATACTCACGTCTTTGCTGAACTGTGATGTCATCGGGTTCCACACGTATGATTACGCTCGACATTTCCTTTCGTGTTGCAGCCGAATTCTGGGCCTAGAACATAAGCTAGAGAAAGGCTTCCTTGAATTGGAGTACTATGGAAGGACTGTCAGGATAAAAGTTATGCCAGTTGGGATTCATATGGGCAGAATTGAGTCAATGATGAAAAGGGTAGAAGAGGATTCTCAGGTAGAGACTGTTATTAAAGATTACATTACTGGAAAGACGCTCATTTTAGGCATAGATGATGTCGACGTTTTCAAGGGTATCGATTTAAAATTTCTTGCAATGGAACACATGCTAATAGAGCGTCCTTATGTGCGGGGAACAGTCGTATTAGTCCAGATAATGAACCCTGCCAGAGGGAAAGGGATATATCATGATCAAATACTAGCTACGATAAGGGAAACCACCGAAAGAATAAACAAAGAATTCGAGCAGCCAAATTACCAACCAATCGTTCTCCTTGAATGTCCAGTTAGCACCAAAGAGAAGTTCTACTGTTATAGCATGGCCGAGTGCCTTGTTGTTACACCTTTAACGGATGGGATGAATCTTTATCCTTATGAATACATTGCCTCTAGACAGCATCAGGCCAGAAAGAGCATGTTAGTGATATCAGAATCTATGGGGTGTTCTTTATCACTGAGCGGAGCACTGCGTGTCAATCCATGGAATATCAGAGAAATTGCCGAGAAAATATACGAAGCAATTTCAATGTATGATTCAGAAAAACAGTCACGACATACGAAGCATTTTGAGTATATTAGCAACCATGATGTGGTTCACTGGTCAGCAAGTTTCTTTGAAGACATGAAGAGAACTTGGGATGAACAATGCCACAGGATATTCTGGGGAGTTAATCAAGGATTTCACTTCAGGGTTTTGTCTACTGATCTCATTTCTGAAAGGCTTCCATTAAATACCATGGAATTAGACTACAGAAAGGCAAAGACAAGGGCCATTCTTTTGGACTATGATAGCACATTTATTCCCCCATACTCTGCGGATAAGTCTCCAAGTGAGCGTATTATCTCAGCCCTCAACGATCTTTGTGCAGATAGTCTGAATCAAGTTGTAGTTGTTAGCGGAAGAGGAAGGGACAGCTTGAACAAGTGGTTCAAGTCTTGCAAAAATCTTGTAATAGCAGCAGAACATGGATTCTTCTTGAGGTGTGATCTCATCTTTCCCTCCCTCGCTAACCTTTTTGATCCTTTAACCGTTTGAGCAAACTGATCAGCTTGTTTGAGATTTGTATGCTTAGTGCTAGAATCAGCATTTCTTCCATTTTGGCAGGTTTCCAGGAAATGAAGAGTGGGAAACCATTGGTCAGAATTTGGATTTGAGTTGGATGGAGTTAGCAGAACGCACCATGGAATCATATACTGCTGCTACAGACGGTTCTTTCATCGAAAGGGAAGAACGCTCTCTGGTGTGGAACTATCAAAATGCAGACCCACGATTTGGATCTCTCCAAGCTATTGAGCTTGTGGATAATCTATCAGATGTTTTGGCCAATGATCCTGTTAGTATCAAGAGTGGAAATTACGTTGTGGAAGCAAAATCTCAGGTATTTTCCTAGTTTTTGTGTGTAAAATCCATTGAACTATCAGAATGTTCCATTTAAAATAACTGCTCTTTTATTCTTCCTATATGCACTTTCCATCTTTCTCAGGGAGTCAACAAAGGCACAGTTGCAAAGATGATCCTCGAATCCATGGCAAAGAAAGAAGCGAAAGGGGACGAGTTTATCATGTGCATAGGCGATGACAAATTTGATGACGACATGTTTGAAATCCTTAATGCAGCAACAGTAGAAGGCAAACTTTCATCCCGCAGTCCAGTTTTCATATGTACTATTAATGAAAATCCAACCAAGGCCAAATATTATTTGAAAGGCACAAATGAAGTGATGGACGTTCTTGAACTTTTGGCTTTAGCATCCAAGTAGCTTCTTCCTTCAAATTGGCAAGTTTTTTACCCTTTTTTGGCAGAAGATGAGCTTGAGCTCTGATTAGAAGGCAACCATGGAGTTTTCATACTCCATAGAATGGAAGGCAGAGTAGCATGATTTAAAAAGCTACCATATTGTGAATTGTAAAGACCTAAAAAGTGAGGGACAATAGATTTAGTTTCAGACTGTTGTAGGATCAAAAAACATACTGTATTGTTCTTTTTCGAAAATTTCATTGAAATATATGTTTACTTCTTCGATACTGCATCGATGATCTCAACAAGAACGTAGAGAAACAATTCTTTGAGACTATAGAAATCATGTTTGAACCAGTAGTGAAAAAACTTCTATGTGGCATCATCCTTGGCTTCCTGTTTAGCTGTGAAAAAGTAGATCAGTTTTTAGAGATATTCAGTCAAATTGTAGAATTTCTGTAATTTGTGGAACTAAAGAATTACTACTCACATGGATTATGCTCACAGAAATCATATACAGCTAATTTGAGAAGTATAATAATTTAAGTTTGATGGACATTACACTATGTTTTATTTTCTAAGCTGAAACTGGTGCGGGTGCTGGAGGAGGAACCCGATTTTCAACTGGGATTTCGACGAACTCCGAGAGAATAGCTCGGAATTCATCTCCAGACATGGTTTCCTTCTCGAGTAGGATTTCCACTATCTTGTCAATGGCCTCACGGTTGTTCCTAATATGGGCTAATGCAATTTCATAAGCTTCATCTGATATCCTCTTGATTGCCATGTCTATATCTTCGGCGAGCTTCTCCGACATCGAATTCCTCGCCATCATTCTCATAATGACATCAGCACTCTGAGCTGATGGGTCCATAAGTGACCATGGTCCAATTTCAGACATCCCAAATGTGGTTACCATCTGCAAACAGGTTGAAATTACCTTAATCTCATTGAATTTTTTTAGTGGAAAAAGCAGAGAGTTAACAAAAAAGGGTCCCATTTACCACCCCCCAGTCCCCATATACAACTGACGAATGTGGGAGAATCTTTAATTCATTCCTTGAATTATAGCCCTTTACAGAGAGTGACTAGCAGGCAGAATGGAGACGTTCTACATACCTGTTTTGCCAAACCAGTAATCTGCTGCAAATCGCCAACTGCACCAGTGGTCACCTCGGGCTCGCCGAATATGACTTCCTCTGCAGCTCTACCACCAAGTCCACCGACAATTCTTGCAAAGAGCTGCTGCTTGGAAATCAAGGTCGGATCATCTGCAGGAATAAACCATGTCAGACCCCGTGCTTGCCCACGAGGAACTAAGGTAACTTTTTGAACAGCATCATGTCCTGGAGTCAGAGTCCTGCATCAAAGATATTACTTTTTGAGTTAACTTCATCTGCCTAGCAAGTCTAAAGTTCAAACAAAAGAAAAAGAAAAGTTTTTCCAGCAGTTTAATATGGAGGATTCCTCGTAAACAAGACAAGCAACTATTATTCTACTCACCCACAAATGGCATGCCCAACTTCATGATATGCCACAAGACTTTTACTCTTCCCATCTGTCATTATCGTTCCTTCCATTCCAGCTACGATCCTATCAATCGAATCATCAATCTCTTTAGATGAAATTGCAGTCTTCCCACGCCGACCAGCGAGTATGGCGGCCTCGTTTAAGAGATTTGCAAGATCAGCTCCACTAAAACCAGGTGTTCTCATTGCAATGACATCAAGAGAAACATCAGTATCAAACTTCTTATTGCTAGCATGAACTTTTAAAATATCTGTTCTTCCCCGTATGTCTGGGACATCAACTGTTACCTGCAGGCATCAGAGTGCTAGAGTAAGTCAATAATGTAAAAATCAATAACGAGGAACAACAGAAGCTATGGTATTTACTTGTCTGTCAAAACGTCCGGGTCTTAGTAAGGCAGAGTCGAGAATATCTGCCCTGTTGGTGGCAGCAATTACAATGATACCGGTATTACCCTCGAAACCATCCATTTCGGTTAAAAGTTGGTTGAGTGTCTGTTCTCTTTCATCATTCCCTCCACCAATCCCAGCTCCTCTTTGTCGCCCGACCGCATCAATTTCATCAACAAACACAATGCAAGGAGCATTCTCTTTGGCCTTCTTGAATAGGTCGCGAACTCGAGATGCACCAACACCAACAAACATCTCAACAAACTCAGAACCTGATATGGAGAAAAATGGAACACCAGCTTCACCAGCAATTGCTTTTGCCAGCAGAGTCTTACCAGTTCCAGGAGGACCAATAAGAAGAACACCTTTAGGAATCCGAGCTCCAACTGCAGTAAACCTCTCAGGCTTCTTCAAAAACTCTACGACCTCCATGAAGTCCTGTTTCGCTTCATCAACACCAGCCACATCATCAAAATTCACTCCAGTGTTTGGCTCCATTTGAAACTTAGCTTTTGACTGGCCAATGCCAAGGGGAAACCCTGGCCCACCAGGACCACCCATTCCCCCAGATGAACGCCTTGAGAGTAAAAATAGCCCCCCAATCAAGATCAGTGGAAAAGCTAGGTTCCCAATCAAGTTGAATAAAGCAGAACCAGATTCTTCTTGAGCATTATGAGCTGCAAAGTCTATGTTTTTCTCCCTGAGCTTCTGAAGAAGCTCCTGACTCAGACCTGGAAGTTGAACACGAACTCGCTGCAACCGATTCCCCAATTCCGGGGAGATAGCTTCAACAATAGCTATAGTTCCATTCTCGTACAGGTCCACTCTTGTCACTCTATCCTTGTCCAAATACTCCAAGAATCTAGAATAAGACATCCTTGATGAAGAAACCCCTTGTTCTTCAGCATTAGCCCTCCCACTTCCCAGTAGAGCAGGAACACCAAATCCCACATTTCCAACCAACTTTAGAAACCCTCGTCTTCCTTCATGTTTCCCATGTCCCAGAGATGCCCTTACTATAGCTGCTCTGCTAACCTTACTCAACGAAAGAAGAGTAGGAGAAGGGACAATATTCACACCATAGAAATCTTTGCAGAATTTTAGTTTAGCACAGTGGGAAGAACCACGTCCTATCAGACATGCTGATGACGAATCCATATCTATTGTAAGCAACAGTCAAAAACAGAAAAAAGAAGAAAAAAATCAGATTCCTACGTTTCTGGAAAGACCCGTTATGAACAAAAAAGAGTTGAAGGAATCAAATTCACACCCACCTCAGAAAGAACGCAAAATCGGAAGAAAGAGGAAAGACCCAAGTTCCAGGAGGAGGCTCTGAGGTTGTGGGCGGAGTGGGAATCTTAGAAGCAAGTGTAAAAATTATGCAGTTGGGGGTGAAGGGTGAGGATATGGCGAATGATGAAATTACGTGTTTGCTGGGGAGTCATCGAATAATCTCCTTTCACCCGTGTCAACTGGCAAGGCAACTACTACGGGACAAAACGGCCAAGGAAACGAAACGTCTTGGGAAGCTATTTTGACTGGGGGACGTGGGCTGCAGAGAGTCCTTCACTTCAGTTCTCTTCTTTACAATAAGATTGAATGAAAATGGGTTAAGTTACACATTATAATGTCAATTCGTGGACGTGACAGATATAAATATATATTCTTCTATATATTTTTTTGGAAAAAAACTAATAGTAGAATAAGTAGAGTATTAGTAGAATAGCAAAAATGTATTCCTCGTTTGCTCGCTGTAATTATGACCTTTCGGGAGAATCTCAATGATTGCATCAGTTAGTACTAATAAATCTCAGAATTATTAATTGGCTAGTTGTAAATAGACCCCATATTGGTATAAATTATCTTTCCCCCGTGTTCGGCTGTAGCGACAACCCCTGAATCTCGAGCCACTTGGCGTTAGGATCTGCAGCTCAAATCGCAATTCGCTTCTAAGTAGAGCGGTAAAAAAAGTCAACTTGAACCTAACGTAACTTGTCAAGACACATATTTTTGAACTAAAAAAAACCATGTAAAAGAAAAATATATTTGAGGGGCAATGTTGGTTTTTATTTTAGTGGAATTAGCCTATTTTTCAACTTGAATACCAATTTGAGCATTGTTCAACTTGCTACACGTATTATGCTGGGAGAAAAATCACTTAGTTGAGCTTTAATGTTACTAAAACCAAATGCCAATTACTCTGTCATCACTAGAGACCTAGCAAGAGGCTAAAATGAAAAATTAAAAAACATAATAACTCAATTTAATAGATATGGTTAACATATCATATTACATTACCAATGTAAGGCTGGAGGATGGATGCAAGATTGAACTTAAAATTTGGACGATTAGTCTCAAAATCTCAAAACCCTTGAGAGTTAGTTTTTATGAGAGAATCGAAAAGTCAATTGGACTGTTCACTTCAAACTCGTTGATTTTCATGGTGTAAGAAATAGAACCTTTTCCCCCTTTTTGATCAGGGCAGAGCATATGCAGATCTGAGGCAAAGGATGTTTGAATCAATCAATTAAATTTGGGAAGTAAAAGCCTGAAAACAAAACAAAATACAGAACCACCCTTCGTTTTTATACACTTTATTTGTAGCATAAGCATTGATGTTTTCCCTGAAATTGATTTGCTTGGCTATTACATTATGATAGTGCAAGAAGCAAATCAAAATCAAGGCTGACGATTGGGTTCCGCCACCACCAGAGCCTGCTGATCCTCCGGATTTGCTTCTGCCGGAACCAGTGCCTGGTGCTCATCTTCTTGTGCTTCTGCAACTTCCGATTCCGGCACAATAAATTGCCGGCAGTATCGAACTATAACCAGAGCTATGAAGGCTGTAGTAACCAAGAAACTAACAGAGGTTAAGAATCGCCATTTATTGAATGGAGAAATTGGCAACATCTTAAAGAATTTCACCTGTGAAGATACGGGTCTTTAGGGAAGAAAAATTCCAGAACACTGTGGCTGCTGATCCCACCACAATCTTCTTATGTGAGCAAGCTTCCCATGCTTCAAACAGCCATCGTATGACAAAATCGACTGTAAAGTGTAAATTCAAACCCCAACTTCTTCTTCAGTATCACATTGTAATTCAAGTGCAGAAACAGCTATATATAGTGGGTTTTCCTGGAATTTTCACTTACCTTTGCTGTTTATCTGAATTTGGTAACATGAGTATAGCTTTGGCACAGAGAAACTGGTAAAGAACCCTGTAAGTAAATGGAGAAAAAGTAAGTGGGCATCAGTAAATGGGCAATTTTGAGCAATTTTTGTAATGATCTTTATTGTAGTTTATACCAATTGCGCAAAGTCTTCTGAGTGTAATAAGATGTCCATACTCAGCTCCTAATATGAGAAATGGAGCTACCTGCAACCCATAAAGATTTATACCATCTAAGCAGGCAACCACATAAGTTTAAATGATTGGATGTTGACATTGTTGAATGAACATAGATGTTGAGTTTTGTGGTTACTTTTAGGGTCATCGATGGCTCTCCAGAGAAAAGCTCCCTTATCTTTGAAATGGCGAAGTTTGCAGCTGGAAGAATCAGTTTCACCAAGCGTAAGATGTCATCTTCTTTAAGCTTGAAGTCCTTATGTTTCTTTTCCTCAATGTTCCTACAGTTTCAAATACAATCTTAGTAAAGAAAGCAGGACTGGGTAGGGTTTTGATATGATTTAAAATATATTAGAATCTGTACCTTTGACAGATTGAATTGGAGACAAATGCAAGACCCAAAAACAGAAGTCCAAGCTGGGAAATCGCCGAGAAAATGCTGTCATTATAATTATTGATATTAAAACTATCACTAAATAATAGTAACGAAGCTGTAATGGTTAACGATTAATCTTGTTACAGAGCCAGACCTAAAGCTAACTCCTCTAGCGAAGCAAGAGGAAAGGAAAAATAGAGAGCCAATTCCAAACCAGAGGCTCGACTTTGCCGCATCTTTCCACATGATCAGATCTGCTATCAGCTGCCCAACTCTATCCAGACTACCATTGTCGTCACTCTCAAGTTCTACAAACACACGAACCACAACATCAGAACACAGAGAAAGAAAATTAATCGAGAACAGTAAAGAAAAGAGAATAAAGAAACATTTGAATTACTAGGGGTTGAACTTGAAGGCGCTAATGCGAGTGGAACCAAGCTCAGCTTCTCCTTCTTCGACCTCCCGCTCTGCCTTCTCTTTCTAGCCTTCGCGAACTCTTCCGCCAAACATAAATCCTTCTCTTCTCTTATCTCCATGTCCGATCGTCTCCTAGACCTTCTGACACTCCTCGGAGAAACACAGCCCAAAAGCCCCATCTGAGGGCCTCGGTTTTTGCACCTTCTGCGTGCGCCGGCTGCCTCCATAACCTCCTCATTCATTTCGAACCGATCCACCAGACGCGACCTGGATTTCCTCATACTATAAGGCGACAGAAGCAGGAGATCCTGAATGGAAGGCGAAGAATTTTTCTTGGGCGGCGAAGAAATCGCGTCAACTGAGAAGTGCGGGATTCCGTCGTCTTCAATTGCAAGGCGCGAGGCTGATTTGGTGCGAGATCGAGGCTCGGATCGATGAGATGGAGGAGTAAAATCCATGGAGAATGAGATCGATTTAATGAAAGATTGCGATATCTGAATCGTAACGATCGCGGGTTGTAGATTTTCAAAGATTCTACTTCTGGTTTTGAAGGAGGAACTAGGAATGGGGCTTTTGCTAGTGCCCATCCACCGAAGCCCATGGAGCCGTTGGAAATTGGAATGGGGCTTTCACGACGCCGTTTCACCTTTGTCTTTATTTAAATTTTGAGGGTGGGAAAAAAGTGGGACCCTCCAAAAAACGCCAACGGTCACATTTTGATATTTGGAATTATTCTTTTTAGCAAATTTTTTCCTTTTGAAACTTTAGCAATTAAGACTTTGTTTACTCGTGCAATTGGATTTATTGCTACAAGTATCTGTATTATGTATACATCCATTCGACACTTTATGTATATCAAAACAAGCTCAATTAATTTTCTTTCTAAAAAAACTCAATTAACTACATACATTTTAAATTTATAAATATAACCACAAAAGAAAAAAAATTCCACTCATAAAAATACTAAAATAACTTTGAAACTTTAGAATATATCATTAATAGACGTCTATTACTAATAGATTGATTAAACATAAATGAGTGATATATGAGCTAACAACAAGTTAATGTGCCTAAACAGAAAGTTGTGAGTTCGATTCTTAATTCTCACTTATTATAATAAAAAATTAAAAAAGAAAAGTGATGTACGAGTGTAAAAAGAAAAATATGCAAAAATCTCTAACTAGACGTGTATGAAAATTTTTTTAAAATTGACATAGTTGTAAAATTATATTTATGTGGCTATATTTAGAAATATGACAGTGTAGATTGCCCCAATAAATCTTTTTTTATACGCCATCCGAAACTGAAATGATCCTTTTCCCAAAAAGGAAAAAGAAATCATTTAACTATTTTACTAATTCTATATTTTTGTTATATATTTCTTGTCATTGGTATATCTATATATGTCATTTTCTGATTTCCTTCTTAATTTTTTAAAAATCTCAATTTATATTTAAGGTATTAAGTTAACTTTTCAACATTTTCATATGCTTGCCATGTTAATTATTATTCCTTTTCTAAAAATCAAGCCTACCACTCAAGAACCATATTGATTACCGTTACTTCTTTTATCATAAGCATATTTAAATCATGATTTTCTTTTGCCAAACCGAACATAACTAAAGTGATTTAGACACCTATCTCTGACTAATAGGTCATGAATTCGAATCTTCACCCTCACATGTTGTATCAAAAAAAAAAATCATGACTTCTCTTAATGAGACAACTAATTATTAGCGTAGCATGTCTCTAAGAGATAGTCATTTTTCTTAGGTCTCGGTTCGAACCTTCCAGTAATCCTAATATCAAAAACTCCGAGCCCCAATTAAAAAAAAAATTACTATTAGCATAGCAGGTAGCAAGCATTTTAATGGGTCCATCTTTTATTTTGATACTGATTGAAACTGTGCTGAAACAAACGTCAAATCAACAACAAGAAGTTGTCGATGCTTTCCAGATAGTTAAGGATCTGCAAATCAATGGGGTAGCCTTTTGGGGCTTGTATGCCTTTCACAGAAGCTTTTCAACCTTGCCAGACCATCTTCAATGGAAGAACGCTCCATGCCAAAGCTCATCCGCAGCCAATTCTTCCACCCAACAGCAACCCCTGTAATTTGTATCTTCAGTTTGGCCTTTCATTTCCATGGCTTTAATAAAAACTTCAACTCTGTTTAAAATAGTAACAGTTCAGTGATGTGATGTTATTGTTTTGTTGATTACCTGGGAGAATAAGCACAGATTCTTCCTTCGCCACCTTGCTGCAGAAGTCCACATCATCACTTATGCCTTCGAGTTGTTCTAGATTCAGCTTCACCTGCAAACATGTACCATCAATTTTTCAGAAAATCTCCACTTACAGAGGAAACCCAGCTCGTGTATGTTCTTCAATGGTGGTACCATTGCAAGAATGGCTCCTTCTGGTTTGTTTGGGCAAGTGAAGCAAGGGATCTCATTGATCTTCTCGTACAAAATGCTGGCATTTTCTCCCATTGTATCAAGAAAATCTGAAAAGAATTCAGCGCTGGTTTTTGCAAGAATTTGTGGAAGTGCACCCTGAATAGTGACGGAAAAGAAAGCAGACCAAGGAACAAAATTGTTAACAACTTGGAGTGCAGTGCTAGGATTAATTGTTAGTTATGGTGCCGTATAGTCCTCCGTTCATAATAAAAAAGTCTCATTCAAGCACCTGAATGAAGGTCGGGGGGTCGGGGGTAATGTCCAGATAGTTCTTAATGCTCTCCACAATCTGCTAAGAATAAGATATCCGTGAGATCTGAACAAATGAAACACAGCATAAACAATATAAGATCCTCAAAGATAAAGATGAACGGAAAAAAGAAAAACGAGTCAAACAAACCCCATGTTTTTCCAGGATGCCATTAGGATCAGTGGTCAAAATCCAACCCAATCTCCAACCAGGAACAATCCATCTCTTTGATAGAGATCCAAGGGTTAGCACTGGGACAATGGATCCAAACTCACCCATAGGAACAAAGGGCTTAGTTCCAAAAGCCATATGTGCATAAACTTCATCAGAGATCAAAAATATCCCAAGTTTCCTTGCAGTTTCTGCAATCTAAATTCAACCACAACCCCCCACCCCACAAAAAAGACATCAAGTATTGGCATAAAATTGGAGGAACTGAAAGTTACACATTGAGCCGATCTCAGAATCTACATTGGTTACCTCTTTCAGATGCTGGTACGTATAGACACTTCCACAGGGATTGTTTGGATTGATAATAACCATAGCAACAGTATTGTTATCTGCAAGAGCTTTGACAGCATCAAGGTCAACCTCCCAACTCTTCTCTGGCATGAGATTAAAATGGCGAACTTCAAGGTTTCCAAAAGCCGCTCGAGATTCATAGTGCGGGTAAGCTGGTCTAGGAAGCAGGATGTTGACACCAGGGCGAGCTAGTACAGAGATTATGATCTCAATTGCTTGTGTGCAACCAATAGTAAGAAATACATCATTAGGGGATAACTGGTATGGCAGACTGTTGGAAAGATATTCTGCCAATGCGCTGTACGAGAAAACGATATCATGTTAAAGCCTTGTCATAAACAATGACCTTCTGTTCTGAACATAAACAGCACCTGAAAACTTGATGTTGACAGTTCTGATATATCGGTAAGAATATTCAATTAACAATGTCCAAGCATTGAATTCCAAAAATTATGTTAATAGTAAATTCATGCATAAGTTAATGGTAACTATCCCAAGTTGAAAAGATAAGCGACCCAATAAGATTTATAATATACAATATCAAAGTTCAAAAAACTCAAAAAATGAGATCTGGCGAAAATCGATGAGCCAATAGAGCCATGAGAGGACATGTTAAGAAGGGTTTGGATAATTGCACAAGGCCCAACAAGTAGAAATCATTATAAATGGGTTCGACCCAGGATTTACCGCTCTAATACCATATTAAAGATGGATAAACCATCACTTACCACTTAACTAAAAAATTTAAGTCGAATGGTTGGATAAATTTAATACATATATTGGTATCTCAACACCCATAACCTTCTCATTAAGTCAAACTGTCAAAGATTTTAATTCCTTAGATCACATTTGTAACGTTATATTCTCCAAACACAATGTTAATGGTACAGACCTCATCATGTGCTTGAAATGCCTTTTGTCATATAAAAAAAAAAGGTGTTTTTTAAGTGAAGCTTTTAGAAGAAACTTAACTATAACATGAAAAGCACTGCGTTTCAATCCATGCTTTAAAATTGTAATCCAACGCTACCACTTTTCAAAAATTCACTTTTGTAAAGACAGGCCAAATACAGGGAACGAAAAGCAGAGCAAAACTCAACATCTGGGTGCTTGTTCTACAAGCCATGCACATTAGAAAGACACTTATCCAGTTTTAGAAAGATGAAATTGAGGTATTTTTGCTGTCGTTTTCGAAACTGATAAAAAGAAGTGCAAGCAAGCAGGGGCAGGCATGTGGTGGAAGAATCTCATCGACCGAGTATGTATAAAATAAACAGCGTAGAATCTGAAATAATACAGGAAACAGAAACAACAACAGAAGAGGAGCAGAGATATTTCAAGTAGGAGAGATTTAGGTTACCTCCTGGCGGGAAGAATACCGCGGGTAGAAGGATAGGAGTTGAAATTAGAGGAGTGGACGGCATCAGCGATGGCTTGAACGGCGGGAGGAGAAGTGGGAAAGGAGGGGAACTCGGAGGGATCGGCACGGGCGAAGGGAATGAGGGGTCGGGAATCATGTGGATTGAGA